TGGTTAGCTGCCTTCTGCTGATAAATAATATAACGGCCGTTTCTTTCGTTAAAAAAAACAAAACCCACTTGTAACATTCTGCAGTTGTGTCCTAGAATCTTTGATTTCCAGATGTGTTTCACTCAGCACAAAATAGCAAATCTTGAACGTCCTTAGTGTTCCATACATTTGTTTTTTGTTGATTTTCTGTGCATCGTCTTAAGTGCGTTTTTAAGCAGGATATGCGTAAAAGTTATAGATTTACCCTATTCTAATCTATTGAAGCTATCCTTTCTTATGATAAGCCATTCATAAGAAAAATGTCTATGGAGATTCTCAGTCATCCAGGTTATGGTGCTTTTTCAAATTCAGTTCTGAACTGAAGAAGATTCTTGGATGAGAAGCAAAACTTTTCAAGGAAAAACAAAGAAAGTCCAGGCACTTCTTGAAAAAGCATCTTTGGTTAGTTCCATTAAACTAGCATCAAAAGTAATCAGTGCTCTCTTGTTCCTACGGAATCTAATCAATCCGTTCACGTCATCAGACATTTTGTGGTAATAAGTTACCCAACGGAATTCATGTTGTGACCCAAAACTACTTTTGATCTGGTCACTCATTGGATGTCTCAGAATTCTAGAATGATACTGGAAGTTTTTAAGAAGAGACTGGACAGCCATTTGTCTGAAATGGTGTAGGGTTCTTGCCTGAGCAGGGGGTTGGACTAGATGACCTCCAAGGTCCCTTCCAACTTTATTATTATTATTATTATTATTATTATTATTATTATTATTATTATTATTATTATTATATTCCTTTCTCAAATTCTTTGTGCAAGTCAACCCTTCTTCTGCTTTGGCTGTACCAGTGGTACATGCTATTGTTCCTTTGAAGCTAAGAGAGTACCAGCTCACAAGCAAGGAGGAAATGCAAGTAGTAACCTTGGACGAAAAATCAAGAATTGCAGAAGTACAAAAGTTTTGATGGAAACAACAACAATTCTAATGGGGAATTTCCCAAACAACTCACCGAAGATTAAATAACGCAGCTTCCCTAAGAATTAGAATCACTTCAATATCTCTGAAACTGAAACTGCTAATCGCCCCAACGGGAACATCAACAGAAGTTGTAAGTATAAATGGCAGCAAAAGATAAATTGTATATATATAGACTTAAATTATATATATATAATTTAACATAGGAAATGATAAAAACCCAACTTTATCGTCCAATAACGTTCAACTGTAAAAATCTCAGCATCCATCCAAAGATCCAAATCTTTTACGTATCACCAATATACTCTGAGACAAAGAATCAAAATACAGATTTCCAGAAATATCATTCTACAATTTTCCAATCAAGTGACAGAAGTGATAGAATGTTCATTTTATCTGTGACATTTTGAATCCAACGGTCCAATTAACTAAAGGTATTGTCCATAGGTATTAAATATTCTCCAGGAAGGAAAAGATAAGTCAGAGGAGTCTTGTGGACTTCAGCTCCCAGAATTCCCTATCTATCTATCTATCTATCTATCTATCTATCTATCTATCTATCTATCTATCTATCTATCTATCCCTTCATGGTGCCTAGAGAATTCTTGGAGTTGGAAGTCCACAAAGCTGAAAGTTGCCAAGGTTGAAAACCTATGTACTAAGTGAAACCATCCAAAAATCTATACACGTTAAATATATACTTAAAGATATAACTCAAATTTTGGGATATCCAGAACTCCATCTTAAACTAACAAATATATCTCCTTAAAAAAGATATGATTTCAAGGGAGGGTTGGGCAAATGAGGGAAGATTGTACTATTAATGCAAGCAATTGTGAGATCAGTAGCATTTTTTCGGTTCTGGTGCCTTAATTCAGATGCTAGTAGAAAAGAACAATGGAAGATGGTGATTGTCTTCACATATGGATGTCAAATTTCCAGGGAGCAGTAGGCCAGCCATGCTGGCTGAATTCATATAATGCGCTAAACCTTAACTCCAATTTACCAAATCCAAAAACAAGCCAGGGCAAAAACAAGCAAACTTTATAAGGACTTCATGATTATACTCCTTCAAAACGCATCTAGTCTTGTTTATTATGGCAACTCCGCCATTTTGACAAGAGAATTAAAAGACTTTGTGTTTTTTCCTAAGATCCATAGAAATCAAAGGACAGTTCCAGTGCTGGCAATAATATCAATAAGACTGAAAATTACATAAAGAGAATGTTAAGTACTAGTGACTGTATGCTGGAAAAAGAGAGCAAGATACAGGTAACAGAATAACAGAGTTGGAGGTCTTCTAGTCCAACCCCCTGCTCAGGCAGGTAACCCTATACCATTTCGGGCAAATGGCTGTCCAGTCTCTTCTTAAAAACTTCCAGTGATGGAGCATTCACCGCTTCTGGAGGCAGGTTGTTCCACTGGTTAATTGTTTTAACTGTCAGAAAATTTCTCCTTAGTTCTAGGTTGCTTCTCTCTTTGGTTAGTTTTCACCCGTTGCTTCTTGTCCTGCCTTCAGGTGCTTTGGAGAATAGCTTGACCCCCCTCTTCTTTGGGGCAGCCCCTGAGATATTGGAACACTGCTATCATATCACATTTCGTCCTTCTCTTCATTAAACTAGACATATCCAATTCCAGCAACTGTTCCTTATATGTTTTAGTTTTCAGTCCCCTAAAGGTAATCTTCAATTTACAACTATTTGTAAGTATAAGCAACTGTTTGAAGTAGTAATAGCACTGAAAAAAGGGACCTTTCCATCAGTTCTCACACTTAACTGTTGCAGCATCCCACAGTTACATGATCTTGGCAACCAGCAGATATTTATGATGCTTGCAGCATCCTGGGGTGTTTGATTGCCATTTACAATCTTCCTAGCAGACTTCAGACAAGCAAAGTCAATGGGGGAGCTGGAGTCACTTAACAAACACATGATTCACTTAACAATTGCAGTGATCCACTTAACAACCATAGCAAAAAAAAAAAAAAAAGCTGTTCCAACTCTGCTTGGATTTTCACTGTAACCTTTTAAGGTTGATCAGGCTGGAAAACCGCAAATGCCCAGCATCAGCTAGCAAGTGCCAACTTATTATGAACCTGAATTCAGATTTCCTTGTTCAGGCCTGTTGTTCCTAAAACATGGAAAAAAATATTTGATGGTGGGGAATTTGCAGCTTCAGACCTATTCGTGATTTTCAGTGGATTTGTTACCCATTACAACATGTGAATCAAAGAGGTCCTGATATTGGAAATACTTCAGTTATTAATTAGTAGCTGCTACTGGCTTGGAAACTGCTCCTTTTAGTTGAGGAAAGCACCAGGGGTTGGCACACGTCATCTTCATTTTTGCGGATCCACCTTGAGTTGCTGCCCACCTTGATTTCCAAGTAACCAGCTCTCAGAAGGCCAGATATAATAAAGTAAACGTGATGGTGAAGGAAAAATAGAAGGAGTAGTAGTAGGAGGAGTTTCCAGGTCTTGTTTGGGCTAAAAGTGACCCTGAGTTCTGGGAAAACTCAAGATAATGATGGCTCATCAGACTAGATCCAGGAACTGCATACAAAACACTTGATAGAGGAGGGAGGGGGAGGAGAAAATTCTTCTAAGGAGAAATTTCCTGACAATCACAGCAATTAATCAGTGGAATGAATGGCTTGGCTTCAGAAATTGTGGGTGCTTCGATACTGGAAGCTTTTAAGAAGAGACTGAACATCCATTTGCCTGAAATGGTACAGGGTTTCCAGTTTGAGCAGGGGTTGGACTAGAGGACCTCCAAGGTCCCTTCCAACTCTTGTGATTCTGCTAAAATGGCTTAAGGAGAAAGACAGTGCTGAGCTGCGATTTCAATTCTGACGGACTGAGGGAGATGGCAAGGTGGCCTTGTGCATGGCATCAAGGTCAAGGGTGCATTGTTTGAGTACACCACCTTTCACATCAACCCTCCCCCACCCCAAACCAGCCCATATCTGCACTTCCCACTATTCCCATTAATTAATCTGAAGTAACTGAATACTTAATGGCTGAGTGCCTCCCATCAGGCTGTGCCACCTCTGCACTGGGGGTTAATTAAGCCACCACAAACAATTTCCCAAACCCCCTACCTTTGTTTTCTTTCTTTGCAGCCCCAAAGGTGACTCACAAGTTCCCTGGCACCAAAAAAAAAAAAAAAAAAAAAATCCCATGGGGTGGGGGCAAGAAGAAAAACAAAACAATCTACGGGGGTCTTTGCGCTCTCTCTGGGCTTGTTTGCTTGCAGATGTTTCATTACCCAACTAGGTAACATCACCAGTTTATGTTACAATGTATAATATAATTACTTGCACAAGCAAACCAGACCCACAGACACGCTGCGTATGATTATCTTTACACAGCGCATCATAGACTGATGGTGTTACCTAGTTTGGGTAATAAAACATCTGCCCGAAAACAGCCAAGCTCAGAGGGGCACAAAGGACCCCCGATTTTAACCCTGAGTTACAAATATTCCCCTCTATGGACAACACACTGTAAAGGAGAACTAATCAGCCACCGGTCGGTGTGTGAACAGCTGATTCCAACTCCCATCCGTCTGCCTGCTGGCTGGGGATAATGGGAAGAGTAGCCCTGCCCGTCTGGAAGGCGTTTTGGCAAACTTTAAGGGGAAAAAAAAAGAGACTGCGAGGAAGAGCAGAGGAGGAGGGAGGGGAAGTAAAAAGCAGCGGAGGGTGGGGTCACCTTTCCCACTCCCCGGCTGCGACCCGACCAGGATCTAGCCCGAAACCGGAATCCCTCGAAGCCGAGTATCAGAGCTGGAGTTGAACCCTCTCAAGTCAAGCAGGAAGGAGGAGAGAAAAGGCACAGAAGAAGGCGAGCTGATGGGAGGAAGAAGGGGGGGGGGAAGAGAGAGAGAGAGAGAGAGAGATCCGCCCCGCAGACACTCTGTGCACTGCATGGGAAAGTTCCAGGCGAGGGACGGGCCGGCGACACGCATCCTGCACGTGGGAAACGGGGGAGGGGGGGGAGGAGGCTCAGAGTGGACCCCGGGTACTCACCCACGCCATACTTCTCCCGCTTGGTGGGGATCCAGCGAGCCATGCCGATGCTGGACTGCGGGGGGGGGGGGAAGCTTGGCCGAGCCCGCCGCCCCGGCTGCTGCTGCTGGTGGTGGTGGCCGCCGAGCCCGGGCTCCGTTCGCCCAGCCAACGCGCTTCAGCCTCCGCCGGCCTCGGTAGCCTCCAGCTCGCCTGCCATACTTGGAGTTAACCCGCTTCTCTGGTTCCCTGGCTGGCTGGCTGGCTGCTCGGCGCTGCGCCTCCTCCCTTCCTCTGCCCAAGTTTAATTCTCCAGCCGCCGCGCCTCCGCCGCCGCCCGGGCAGCTTTGGGAACTCCAGCGGCCCGCCTTCCACCGAGGGCAGCGAGACGAGCAAAGGGCGGGCGCTCCCCGCCTCTGCCGGGCGGGATCACCTGCTCCGACGGCCTCTCTCTCGCTCTCTCTTCCCCTGCCCGGGATGGGAAGGACTCGGCCGCCCAGGGTGCGCACCAGCTCCGGACGTTAGCGCGAGGCCAGTCTTCGGAGCTGCCGGCGCAAAAGTCAACGGGGGATGGCCTGCTTAATGGTGCCTTCCCCAGCATTTTCTGAGACTTCTGCCGTCTTTGGGGTCCCCCCTCCCCCTCCTCCCAAGCCTGTGGGGCCTTCCCTTGCCTGGGAACCATGCCCTTGGGCCCACACTGGTAGTCCTCGCCTTGCAACAGTTCATTTAGTGACCGTTCAAAGTTACAAGGGCACTGGAAAAAAGTGACTTGAGCGCCGTTTTTCACACTTAACGACCGTGGCAGCACCCCTCCTCCCCTAATGGTCAAGGGATCAAAATTCAGTTGCCTGGCAACTGACTCATATTTATGACGGTTGCAGTGCCCCGGGGTCATGTGATCCCCTTTTTCAATCTCCCGACCAGCAAAGTCAATGGGGAAGCCCGATTCACTTAACAACTGTGTTATTAACTTATCAATTGCAGCGATTTGCTTAATAACTGTGGGCGAGAAAGGTCATAAAAGGGGGCAAAACTCACTTAACACATGTCTCCCTTAGCAACAGAAATTCAGTTGTGGTCGTAAGTCAAGGACTGCCTGCAGGTCATTTTGCCCTTGGAAATAATCTTGTTGTTGAACAGCATTTATTAACCACAGCCCCCTGAAGATGTGTGGATTTCAATTCCCAGAATTCCCCAGCCAGCAACGGGAATTCTGGGAGTTGAAGTCCATACATCTACCAGGGGCAGAGGTTGAGAAATGCTGATTTGGTATCTGGCATCTTTTTCTCCACTGCTCTGCTCCAATTTAGATATTTTGAACCATGGCTCCCATCCTCCCCACCCAAATGTCTAAACTGAGCCTTACCTGATAGTCTGAGATAGGGGAAAGTTCTAAACTTATTTCAAATTTGTGTTGTTTTTGCTTAAGAGGAGCAGATCCAGAAAAAGACACCGGTTTCATTTTAGATCTGGTCTGGTGGCTACGGAGAACCACGTACCATGGGCAATGTGTGCAAGACACACCTTGTTTCACCATAGATTACTCCACCACATTTTCTGATGTGCATGGGCCAGAAAACCAGATATGGCACACAGGCTGCATTTACATGCCACCGTAACCCCAAAGAGAGTTGGATATCTTGTTTTGTGGCTTGGAATGCCAGCTATGTCCAACAGCTACATTGTTTCAGCAAAGAGAAAGTCAGTTGCAGCTTTAATGTAAAACAAACATTTTAAAAAGTATACACTGCACCTTTAAAGATACAACTGCTAGACTTGGTCAGCTGTTTCAAGAATATATAGCTGAAGGGCACCTTACATGCATGCAGCATTAGTCATCTTAGAGGACTGATACACCCAGTTCCTAATTAAACAAGCAAGCTTTCTTTTGCCGTGTCTCCCCGTGGTTCTTCAAAGTAGCCTGCTGCTTGTGGGTCTCAACCGGTCCACGCAGGACCCAACCCAACTCTTTTTAAAATCAGGCAAATACCCCACTTCCCCCCCTCCACACCTTTGCATTTTAATCTGGACTTTGGAATAAGATGTGGTTCCTATCTTCCTCGATTCACTCTCCTTATCAGAAACAAAGTGGATTTAAGGATAAGAAGGGCTCACATGACCAGGATTTTTGACTGACAAGATATATTTCAGAAGGTGGAGATTCAGAGGCTGCATTTAAAATAAAATAAAAAGCAAAGGGGGGGGGGGAACCCAAGCTTGGATGCTAGGAGCGACCTTTTCGTAAAACCAGGAAAGCTTCACATTTCCAGTTGACTCATTTTAATTTGTTTTAAGTATGTATATCCCCTCTTTATTATTTTTATAAATAGCTCAAGGGTGTGAACATACCTCACACTCCCAATGAAGGAGAATATTTGTAGCTCCTGGATGCTCTCTGAGCTCGCTTGTTTTCTTGCAGACGTTTCATTAGCACACTAGGTAACGTCATCAGTGCTAGTCTGGCAGTGATGATATTACCTAGATAGGGTAATGAAACGTTTGCAAGAAAGCAAGCAAGCTCAGAGTGCACTCAGGCCCATCATCTAATACTCCTTCATCCTCCTGTTTTGCCCACATCAGCAACCATGTGAATTGAGTTGGAATGAGAAATATTAATTGGCCCACACTCATCCAAGCCTATTCATGGTTTCTAGGTTGGCACTTTAACCACTAGGCCAAATTGTCTCTTGAAGGAGAAGTTTTCCTTGAGTTGGGCTCAGTTCCTAGTGACATCTTGGACTGCTTCTTACGATCTTGTTGACCACCAGACTAACATTTAATAATAAGCCACTGCTTTCTTTGGGGATTATTTTATTTTACATTCAGTTTTGTCTATAGCCCAGGGATTTTTTTTAGCAGTCTTCCATTCAAGCACTGCCATAAAGAAAGGCAGGGACAGGACGCTCTTCTCAACTAGGGGCCCAATGTCATATTGTCCAAGGGCCAAGATAACATGATCCAAGGAGGTAGAACCAGAACTGTCCACCAGATTAATCCTACCCAGAACACAACAAACACCCTTTCTCCTTCCTTTCCCGGTGAACATTTATTGATTTGCACTGAAGTCATCACTGAAGGAGAAACTGGGAAAAAAAGTGTGGAAGGTGCACACGGGTTCTGACTTGCCTATCTCTGGCCTTGTGTAAGAGCACAAGGTTTGAATGCCAATGGTCTCAGATTTATTTTTTAACAATGATCATTAAAGTAGCTGAGGATAGGCTGGGATGGTGCAAGAGGGAAGAAAGCCATACAGACCACAGAAGAGACACCGTTACTAGCTTTGCCCATCTTAGCTCCTGCAGAATTCCAGGCCTTTGTCTGTCACTGCTGTTGCTTAAATTTGTAGAAAGCCCTCAGGTGGGCAATGATGAAGTGAAAGGCTTGCATTCCAGTTGGTATCTATTGCTACGCTCATCCTTTCCTTGTTCAGCTGCTTTTGCTATGTGGGGCAGAAGAGGGGATAACAACAAAGCCATCTTTCCACTTCAGAAGGGATTGGAGAATCCCAAGAACTAGGAAGCAGAGGTTGGAGTTCCACCAATGAAAGCTACCCATGCTGAAGCTCTGGAATGTGTTTCATACGTGTCTTTGTTGTACATCCTCTGGAAAATAGATTTAAAAATGAGATGGTTCAGCTTGCAAAGACTTCCACAGCCCCCAAGTCATCCTATAGAATACAGAATACACAGGAACAGAGTTGGAAGGGACCTAGTCCAACCCCTTGCTCCAGCAGGAGATTCTACCCAGTGGTGGGATTCAAATACAACCAGTTCTCTGTGTGGATGCCACTTCTGGAAGTCCATTCTGGGCCTGGGCAACAAAAAACTAGCTACCGGTTCTGCTGAACTGTGTGAACTGGCTGAATCCCACCACTGATTCTACCCTATTCCTGACCAATGGCTCTCCAGCGTCTTCTTAGAAACCTCCAGTGATGGAGCACCCTCAACTTCTGGAAGCAAGCCATTCCATTGGTTAATTGTTCGGATTGTCAGGAAATTTCTCCTTAGTTCTAGGTTGACTCTTTTTGATAAACTTCAATCCATTGTCCTGCCCTCAGGTGCTCTGAAGAATAGGCCAACCCCCTCTTGTTGTGACAGCCCCTCAAATCATAAGAAGACCACCATTGGGTCATCCCTAGCCGTTCTCTTCATTAGTCTAGATCAGTGCTTCTCAACGTTTGTGTGACGGCGACCCCCGTCACACAAACATTCTGCGCATGCGCGGCGCCCCCATGTGCGACGCGCATGCGTGACGGCCCCCCATGCACGATGTGCATGCACGGCGCCGCCCCCGTGCGCGACGCGCGTGCACGGCGCCGCCCCCATGCGTGGTGCACATGCGCAGCGCGCCCCCGTGCGCGATGCACGTGCACGACGCCGTGAAAAATGGCAGATCGCCACCTTTGGCGACCCCCGAAAAATGGTCGATCGACCCCAAATGGGGTCGCGACCCATAGGTTGAGAACCGCTGGTCTAGATAGACCTAGTTCCCATAACTGTTCATCATACGCTTTAGCCTCCAGTCCCCTAATCATCTTCATGAGATGTGGGACTGGTCTCAAACTGGTCAGTATTTATATAACTGGCCCACACTCATCCAAGTCTATTCATGGTTTCTAGGTTGGCACTTTAACAACTAGGCAAAATTGTCTCTTGAAGGAGAAATTTTCCTTGAGTTGGGCTCAGTTCCTAGTGACATCCTGGGCTGCTTCTTACGATCTTGTTGACCACCAGACTAACATTTAATGCCACTGCTTTCTTTGGGGATTATTTTATTTTACATTCAGTTTTGTCTATAACCCAGGGATTTTTTTAAAGCAGTCTTCCATTCAAGCACTGCCATAAAGAAAGAAATTTCTCTTTAGTTCTAGGCTGACTCTTTTTGATAAACTTCAATCCATTGTCCTGCCCTCAGGTTCTCTGAAGAATAGGTCAGCCCCTCTTGTTGTGACAGCTCCTCAAAACATAAGAAGACCACCATCGGGTCATCCCTAGCTGTTCTCTTCATTAGTCTAAATAGACCTACAGTAGTTCCCGTAACTGTTCATCATACGCTTTAGCCTCCAGTCCCCTAACCATCTTCATGAGATGTGGGACTGGTCTCAAACTGGTCAGCGTTTATATAAGAAGGAAGCTAGATGGAACATTTATCTGGATCAGCTTAAGTTGATCAAGAGATTAGAGCTCGCCAGGAGACAATCGTTGCCTGCAGAAAGTGTCCTTCCTTCTCAAGCATTTCTACCTAAATCGCCTAACTAGTAGACGAGGGAAAATCATTAGTTTCCTGGAAAGTTCCGCCAATTAGAGAACTGTGTTCCCAAGTTCAGTGCCCCCCCCCCCCCGCACGTTGAACAAAATCTCCTTGTTCCCTGGAGATAAGAATCT